AATTTGTCCATCTTGGCAATGACAGCAAACTAGAACAAGAGGTGGAGGAAGCAGGCTCTCTCTGTCCCCCATGGCTATCAGCATGCAATGACCAGCATCTTTGTACCTATGAAGGCTTCATAACCTTGTGATTGCTTCAGAACTCCCCAGGGCACTAAGCCCCACATGGAGAAGCAATTTAGCAACATAAAACTTTAAAATCTTTTCCCAAATCCTTCCACTTGATGTTAGATTCATACACTATTTTTTCTACTCTAAATACTTCAGATTTCATAATATATGTACCTATTTTATGATTTTATAAGACAATGAAACAATCATAAAGTGTAATTGTCAAAATTAAATCCATTCTTAAATGGTATAATAGGAGAAAACAAAGCACATACACTAGAGCAGGGGTTGGCAAACTACGGCCCATAGGCCAAATCCTGCCCACTATCTTTTTTTATTAATATAAACAAAGTTTTAATGGAACACGGCTATGCCTATTTACATACAGTCTACAGCTGCTTTCACTCTACAATGGAAAAGCTGATTAGTTCCAACAGAGTCCATATGGCCTGCAAAGCCTAAAATACTAGCTGTCTGGCCCTTTACAGAAAAAGTCTGCCAACCCCTGCACTAGAGTAACACAGACCAGTGAGGAATGAAAACATTAAGCCCAAAAGTATTGCCAAAGTTTAGTTCCAACCAGCAAAGTGCTTCTTCCTAACAAAACATATCTTAGAATCCACATTATTTCATTTGCATATCTTCAACAGAATTCCAAATTTAAAAATAACGATATATGCGTGTTCTCACTCATATGAAGGAACTAAAAAAACGTTGATCTCATGGAGGTAGAGAGTAGAATGATGGTTACCAGAGGCTGGGAGGGGGAGGAAGAGAGATTGGTTAACGGGTACGAAAATACAGGCACACAGAAGCAGTAAGTTCTAGTGTTCGACAGCAGAGTAGGGTGACTGCAGTTAACCCTACTGACTACAGTTAATTATTTTATATTTCAAAATAGCTAGAAGATGTGAAATGTTCCCAACACAAAGAAATGGTAAATGTTTGAGGTAATGGATATCCTGATTACCCTGATTTTGATCATTATTGTATGTACTGTATGCATGTATCAAAATATCACACAGAACCCATAAATATGTATAATTATTACGTAGCAATAAAAAAAATAGGCCTTTTTTGTTGCGATAAGGGGTCCATTCATCATCTGTGGCGAAATGTACCTTGCTCACTCTGTCAACCTGTACCTTGCTCTTGCTCTATAATCCTATCTTTCCCTCTTCAATAAACCTCATTTTCATGCTTAAAAAAAAAAATAAAAATAAATAAAAAATGAGGATATAAAAATAATAAAATTAAAAAGAACAGTATGTGCCAAACTAGCTGATTTCTGCAAACTATGTCAGGTAATCCTAATAATTATGTTTCTTTTTTTATCATTCTAAAGAATGATGCTAAAATAGAGATGACTAAAAAAGACCTCAGTCACACACCGTTAGGAATTTCATCAAGGTTATCATCAATTCCACGCTTTACAACTCGAGGCCTTGTCTGTCCATCTTGTGTGGTCCCCCATTCATCTGGCACTGAGGAAGGCTGGAACTGAACAATAACCTTCAAGATACAACAGGATTATGACAGAGCTCATTAAGGAATTCTTTTCCACTCCAGGCTAAGTAATTTATTTTAATACATGATAAACTATACTTCATAGTATGGACAGTTTATAAATCAAGTATTAGTACTACTCCCTCAAAATCAATTTTATAAGAGTCCTGCTAGTGTTAATTAACCATCAAAATTAATGTTGGAAAATCATACAGGTAAATCAGAAGTAGTATACTTGACTTAAAAGTCTAACATAAAACTCCAAGTTTACACATAAGATATCAAAGACAAGTTATCTGCGGTTCAGGAGTCTTTGGTCTTATTAAAAACACAAGGCAAAATCCTTTAAATGGAAAGATTTTAATTTACAAATTCAATTTCAATGACAAAAACTCACCACTTTTTAGGAAAAAAATCTGTTCAATCAACTGTATTAAATTCAGCCTTGTGCCATACAGAAATTTAAAAAAAATACATATAAATGATAGTATGAAAAATGGTTTTGTTTGTATAAAAAAACAAAAGATTAAGAGTGGCTACCATTGAGAGGAAAATGAGGAGGGCAGAGGTAGAAGGCTTTTATTTTTCATTTAATACCTTTTTAAACTGTTTAAACTTCATTGGCATATGAATGTTTTTATTTATTTATTTCAGTATCAATAAGAACTATAGAAGTGGTTAGA